AACTGGTGAGATGATGTGAGTTGGCAGAAAGGAAGTGTACACTCCGGAAAACGAACTTTGACATAGACCCTGACGTCCTGGGTTGCTGGAAGAGTGTTTTCCTCTATCAACCCAGTGGTTTTCAGGGTCCACGGCATCGTCTTCCAGGGTGTAAACTTCTTTGATGACTGGACCGTTGATGTCAAACTGATCTACATGAATCTACAACTTTCTCTTCTGCAGCATTTTGTCACAAGTGTCGAAGAAAGAAAGCGCGCTCTGGGTTTGCCTACTCCTTGGCAAATCTTTAAGTACCTTATCCCAGGCTCGACCCACATTTGTCTGAGAGATTTGGATCAAGAGAACTGGATGCACAGCGTGCGCAGCGCAGCACCACCTCCATGATAATTCCAGGCCTACTGACTTGCCAAGCTTCTTCGCTCTTCATGTGCACTCTCTTCCTTGGGAAGCAGCGGTCTGGGAAGTGTCCTACCAGGTAGACACATTCCAAAGCTTCCACCTACCAGGTACCAAGCACCATCAAGATTTACTAGTCCTTACCGAACAACTCCAAAAGGGTTTTACACTACTAAGCCAGCTCAACCCTTCTTAACAAAATAGTCTAATAGTCATCCAATGGTCTGGGAAGCTTAGGGTTCCTCCATGCCTTCCCTCAGATTGTGGCAACGTCATATGGTCGCGTGAGAAGTGTCAACCGCACGGCCAGCTGGTCTCCAAAGCATCCGGAAGTTTGACCCTTAATGGGCAAACAATGACAGCAACAGCCAACCAGCGCAGGCCCCATCCGTGACTTTTAGTTCCAACATCTTCAATCTGAACGACCTGGACCCGGACCGTTTTGCACTCGGATCTAATCTACAAGTGCCAGTTTTAACTAGGGTCGCGTCCCATTCTTATTCATTCTTCTATATATACTACCAAGGACGTTGGGGTTAAGATCACCTCCAAGTCAGGGTGCCCAGCCACCCCCGCGGCTGTAGTATGGGACGAGCCGTTGGATGGGTGAGCCTGGTCCTTCCCTCCTCTCCATCCTCCCCTTCCGCCCAGCCGCCGTGTGGGTGCTGCGAATCTCGCCGTCCACAGACCAGCCGGCGTCCTGCGAAGAGTGAATGGACGGTTATAGGGGTCCAGTCGTACCGAACCTCAGCGGTACGGTATGACTGGACCCGACACTGGCACCCACTGCCACCCCAGTCCCACCGAACCGAAACGAAGGTACGACTGGAGCCCTAGAGGGTTTAAATATGTGGCACCCAGGCGCGACCATGGACCCTCCGTTCAGGGACCGGGGCCGTACCCGAATCCGAACTGGTCAGGGGTGGAGGGGTCCGGACCCGAACCAATCCCTATAGGGTTTTGAGGGTCAGAAATGGGTTCAGAACGAACTGGGTTCTGCAGCGATGTCACCAAGAACATCCAAGAACTACCTATTGTTTCACGGGTTTCGGACTGCCAGGGACTTGTGGAATCTTAAACGACAAATTTAACAATTGACCTGGAAACCCAGCCCCCACGAATCAACGAATCACAGATCCGGATATGATTCGCAGAACTCGCCGTGCTCCGTTCAGGGACGCCGGACCCGAATCCTGGGGTCAGTGCAGGGGTCCGGACCCGAACCAATCCCTAGGGTTTTGAGGGACCAGTCGAGCACCAATCCCTATAGATCCACGGGTACCTTCTCAGGTTCGGTACGACTGTACCCAGGCGCCTGCACTGGTATCCAATCACCTTCTAATGCAGGTACGACTGGATGAGGGAATGAGGTCTATGATTTGTAGCGTATGTTGATCAATTTCGGGGCATCCCCCCATTCAGTCTGAGAGCTGCTTGGGGTGTGAATCCGTGCGGATCATCCACAGTCCCCAAGACATCCGAAAGCTTCTTCTCCTCTCCTTCCCTAAGGATCCAAGTACCTTCTCAGGTGATTGGAGAAACTGTAGCTTTGGAGGGTCCAGCCGTACCGAACCTGAGACGGTGGATCCGTGGATAATGCTTGTCCTTCTGCTTCGACCTGCTCACCCAAAGCCTTCGCCCTCGCCACCCGTTTTCCACGCCGCCTTCCGTCGCCGAAACCATCCGAAACCTTCCTGTCGACCTGAACGGTTCGCCGACGACCGAGCCCGAACGGTCCTCTCGGATGCTGTGCAGCGAGTGCACCGAGTGACTCCTCGGTGACACGAGGGGGGTCGGTCGAGGTCGGCAGCCGATGGATGGCGCCGGGTTTTTTGCGTGGTCGCCTTCGGATGGCAGAAGAGGTCCAGAGGATCCAACAGACCGAGCCCTATATAGTTCTCCCCGTTTCAACATGGCGCAAGGCCCGGGTATCTACCAGGTGAGAAGCCCCAGACCCCGAAGACCCGGAGCATTCGGGGCCCAACAGGTCGTCGCTGGACTCACAGACTGCGCCCTCTGGAGGGTCCAGGGGTCGCTCCGGACACAGCCCCATGCGCCACGTCCACTTCACCGAGCATCTTCAAGGGTGTGTAGGGCCCACCCGCTGAGCGCGTGTGGAACATGGCGGGCGTGCGGAGGCTTGCCCACTAAAGGTTCCCAGGATTGATGATGCACTTCCTGGTGGACGTTGACACATGTTGACAATTACGCCTCAAGTCGATGTGTGGGTGAAACACAATGGAACAACACATTGACCATTTGCCCATGATTTTAAGATGAGAGCGCCCCTGCTTATCTGAAAGTTGCTTGATTGCATAAATGATCATCTAGAATCTAGAAATGCTGACTGAAAAAATGCTCAGAACCTGTGCCAAGCTGACACACTCCGGCTGACCAAAAGGTGCCATGAGCCATGATGAGCCATGGAAGGTCTTCTCCAGGGGCGCCCCATCCAATCCCGCCCGCCTCTCTTCAGCCGATATGGCGAGGCTTTCGGCCATGGACGGGCGACCGGTGTGGCCTAACTATAGAGGCGCAAAAGGTCCAGGACCATCCTGAGGATGGTCTTGGAGGTGAAAGTATACTTCCCGAGAATGGTCGAACTCGGGCCGACAGCAGGACATCCGATTTGGATGGTCCTGGACCCTTAGGGGGGGGTATTAGTCAAATGAAGTCAAAATGTCCCAACAGCTCGTGTTTGGGTCGAACAGTTGGGGCCTGCTTCGATGAGCCCCACTACGAGGTTCAAGGTCGGAGCTCTGGATTTCGAGGTATGGACTGATCCTCGCACCTATGGGCCTATGGGTGGAGATGATTGGGGTGAATAGCTGGTGAAAAAGCAAAGCTTTTTGGTATGGCGACCCCCTAGAAATAGCTAGAATTGTGAAACACCTTGCAAGTCACAAGCCCCTCACCGAATCTTAGGAAATTCAGACTACAACAGGATCTGCGGATGTGTGGATCGCAATCTCATGTAATGGGTTTTTCCGAATACGTCTCTCGTTGAACTCTGGGGGTTCTGGGATTGCCAGGGGGGGTTATGGGCTCCATCTTGTTTTATATAAACAAAAAACGGTATATTCAAGTACCATGTCCATCTGGATGAGTGGATGGATATTCAAAACCCTTGTCCAGCAACCAAAACTCCCACCATCGCCCGGAACTATTGAACTTGTGCGATCACATGTGCCAAGAAAAACCCACGGTGATGCTGGCAATCATCAAAAACATGTTCAAAGCCCTAAGCCGAACACCGTATCTCCATGACTCGACCTAACATGTTTAACATGACTCCCCCTACACCTCCAAGTACCTTCCTCAGAAGGTGAGACTGGGGGCCCGGGTGCCAGTGTCGGGTCCAGTCATACCGTACCTCCAGTCATGGTATGACTGGAGCGCTACTTAGGAGTCCATGACTCCATGTGACTCCATCATGACTCTTCCAGCCAGCCCCACCATGGCCCCACGGCCGAGAAGAACCACCCCCGCCGTTGCTGGCCGGGTTCCCCGAGCCATGGCGAGCAACGTGGACAGCGGAGACGAGCGCTGGCTGGGTCGGGGCCGAAGCGCGAACTGTCGAAGCGTCGAAGTCAATGTCCTCATAGCACAACACCTGTGGATTTCGGGCTTTTCTCCCCCGAAGATGAGTCGAGATGAGTTGCGTTTTAGACAAACAGGTCTTTTTTTGGAGCTGCCCACAAGTGTTGCTTCTTTTTGGTTCCATCGGACAGTGTTCTGTGAGCAAATACTTGCATGTGCATGGTTCCTTTCTGGTCTTGGTTCCCTGGTGCATTCCTGACCACATCTCTTGGTCAGGAACCGGTAATTACATCTGAGATGCATTCCTCGACTGTCGACCTGTGCTGTCCTGCTCCATCCGCCGTCGCGACCCCGCTGCGGTTCCACCCTCTCGAGCCAACACGGCCAGACCAGTCGACCGTGGCGTTCGGAAGTCGCGTTTTGCGAGGGGCTTGTGATAATCCCTATGCCCAAACACTCCATGGGACTACCATGTATATGCCAATCAGTTGGGGTGGTTGACTGGGGGTCTGGCTGGGGTGGCAGCAGTCCCAGGTCGTGTCTGGGACAGCTAGGGATCTACTGCCAGCCTCTTATCCGAACAGTGATGTGAAACCGACACTGCGAACAGTGATCTAGTCGGTGCCAGGGTCGGGTACCCGTCGTCCCACCACACCCCGAAGTCTGGAGCGGTTGAAGGCGGGTCTGAAACAAGCAGGGTGTGGGATTGAAGACTCAAACGCCATGGTGTTGGTTGAATGGACTGAATCTCAAACAACCATTGAGTTACACTGAACTGAACAAGTTGAGGCTATTGTATGGAGGCTAAATCAACGTAACCATTCTTTTGACATCGTTTTAATGGTCTTTGACACATTTGAGGGCTAGATAGGCCTAGGGAACATGTAGCAGGGCCCACTTTTATATCTTTTATACCGTCCCACATCTTCCCCAGTGACACGGGGATTCAACCAGCAACCGGTAAAATCATAACCTCACCCGATCTCCGCAAAAATTAGACCTCTGCAAAAAAAGACAGCGATCTCTGCAAAAAACTTTAAAAAAAAAAGAAAAAAAACACCTTTTCCTGCGCTGCGTCAGGAGCATGTCACGCATGTGTAGCTTCCAGCGGACCGCTCTCAGGAGCTGGTCAGGCGCGTCGTAGGGGGCAAGCCTGCAAAGCGTCACTCAAAGCGTCGCCTTCATTCAGATCTATGACTCCGCTGTTCGTCGTTCGCTGAGAAAGCAGGTTGCAATTTCTTCAGAGGTGCCAAATAAGGGCCCCCCACTAGTACCATGGAACGGGTGGTAATTGGGGGGGGGGTGCCTATACAAACCACCTTACTTTTCCGTGATGGCAGAAAGACAGCTTTGGCTGAATCTCGCTGGACCTGGAAAAGGGGGGTCATGCCCTTGTACGCACACGATTGCACAGTTGACGTCTTAAGATATGAATTCAGATATGGTCGGATGGAATCCTTCGTGGTGTGTTCTTGCACTGACTACTGCAGGTTCTCAAAGGCGAAAACCACTGGATTAGGATATGCCGTTGACCTAGACTTGGAACATCATCGAAATTGCTCCTGATGTCCCAGCTGTTTCATCACGGAACTACTCATGGTGCTGGAAGAAGTTGGCCCAAACGACGCTCCGTGAAAACAGCTCGACTGGTCCAGCAAAACCCTAGGGATTGGTGAGAAGGTCTGGACTCCTGACCCCAGGATTCGGGTCCGGCCCCGGTCCCTAAACGGAGGGTCCAGGGTCGTGTCTGGGCAGTACTGATCTGGACGATGGCATCCTCAAGGTGAGAATATGACGACCTATCCCGGACCGAGCAGCACCTCTGACAGGCTTTAGATTTGTGGTTCTTCCAAGAGCTCGACTCACTTCAAATGGCTCCAGCAAATACCCTCCAAGTAATCTGTGGAAGGTGTGAAACAGAAGCTAGTTTGCATCCGACCTTCTCATCTACAAAGGAAGGCTGAGCTTCCATGAGCACTTCTGAGGTATTCTGAGAGCACGCGCGACCACAACGTATGATGTTTCTCCTGTGTGGACAGAACAGCAGTCCAGCCCACCCCTGAGCTGAGCTCAAAAATGACTCGGCCAACTCAACTGGGTTGTGATCCTGACCGGATCCACGATAACTTCCTGATCTGTTGTACCCCAAACGCTCCGGTCACAGCCCGACGGGTCCCTCAAAACCGGATTGATTCGAACCCGAACCCCCTCGAAAGGATTTGGGACCAACCTCCACATGATATGAAGGTTCAGGAGCGTGGGTAGATGCTGTGGGTCAAGGGGGGTTTTGCCACACAAAGATGTTTTCATGCGGGACATGGTCTTGAGTCTTGAGCCTGTGAGATCACTTGTGACGATCCTTCCCACAGAATTAAAGTGACACCATAGATGTTCTGATCCCGTCATTTCCCAAACACTCCAAAGGACTGGCATATGTACCCCCAAAACGCTGAATACGGGGTGTTGTTTCAGGCTTCCGTGAAATTCATGTGCCAAGTCCGGTTCTCTTAGGCGCTGCTTTTGTGCCTCGCCGCCCCAACTGGGCCGACTGGAGACGACCGGCCGCGCGCCCGGCCTGGTTGGCCCCTTCGCCCGGACTCGGCCTCGCGTCCCATCACCGAAGGCTCACGAAGGCACGATTGGGACTGCCAGACGAACTGCCAAGAGCTCAGGCCAGGGGTGCTGCGTGCCAGGGGGGTCTGTCTGAGTCCGGCAGCTCCGGCAGCTCCGGCAGTCGTCGTGTCTGGGCATGTGAATCGAAGTGGACCGATGTTTAGGGCACTGCTGTGGCCCGGGGTCCTCCGGTGACGACCGCATGCCGAGCTCGCTGGGATGTGTTGGGGCTGTGTTGGGCGTAACCAGACACCGCGCTGGGGCCTGTCAAGGCAGTATACATCTTCCTAGCAGTTCCATAGAACCTCCACTCACTGGATGAGACGAGCTACACCACCCCACTCCAATGTGACTGAGCTGGTTATATCCTCTCTATATCTCACGGGTGGCCTTCGAGCCCCACTGACCTTCCCAAGGCCCAGCTACACCCCCCACCTCAGCTCTGAGCTGAGCTGCTGAGCCGATGGCCCCGATGGCGGGTGGTCCAACTGGCGAACACAACGACGACCGGTCGTCGTGGTACGCCAGACATCGGGGTGAACGTCACATCCCAACCGTGGCACGAGATACAGGTTGATTGGTGAGGTATTTAGAGGATTTACTTAAGGGCTTCAAGGGCTCCTGGCCTACCTCCTGAGCAAATGGTTGGGGTGGGTGCCAGGGGGGTCTAACCACCGAACCTGAGGATATGGTATGGTTGATTGGTCGGTTGCTTCTCAAGTTGTTTGGCTGGTTATTGGGATGTGGGGTGTAGGGATGCATGCTGCGCATATTTCACATTGGCTCACCGCCCAACTGTCAAACATAGAAAGAACACAACTAACTACTGCCAGGGGAAGGCTGGCTGGTGTAAAGAATAAGGGAATGACACCCTTATTCTTTAGAGATCTCAGGACGCCTCAGGATCCATCGCAACAGTCAGAAGATACAAGACTCAAGAACCACGTGGACCAGCTAAAAACCGTGGCTCCCAGATCGAGAAAGGCACAAAAACGAAGTTCCGGGAGTTTCCAGAGCCGAGGATCTTCGTATCTTTCGACATTTCACTATGGTTCAGGATGTTCATGCATGAGCAAATAGTATCTTTACTTTCACAACTATACCTAGAGACTCCAAATGCACCAAAATTTCTGCCACCTCAGCAAAAAGCGCCTTTACCCGTAATTTGCCCTGAAAAAGGGCATTCGGCGTAATTTGCTAAAACCAAGATAGACTCGGCGTTTTTGGTTTTTGAGGTTCTTGAACGTATTGATTGGTTGATTAGATGCAGAACCAATCCGGGTTGTTGTGATTCATGATAACTCGGCTCGACAATCCTCTAGGGATCAAATACCTGGTGAACCGGGCATTCTTGAGGTGCGCCCTGGCTGTTCACGCCCAGTGTTTTTCTTCAGTAGTTCCTACCTCTTGCCAAGCATTGTTGGCTAAGGGATTCATGGTAAACACTAGGCCTGGCAGAAATGCCAAATGGTTTCTGTGGCCCGAGGCAACCCTCTTCCCTGATTTCCTATTAGTTATTGCAGTGGCACAAAGCTGTTGTTGAACATATTCGGTGAATGGAAAGATTTGATTCCATCACCAAGGTGAAAGTTAGTGGATTGTGCATGGACCATGCATAATTCAACATAAACTCACCGTGAACCAACCGGGCACCCTCGCGTAAAATCGTGGCAGTCAAGTTGTTCGCAGTTTTCCAAAGTTTTGTCATCCCTAGATCTCGGCATAATTGCCCGATAATTCGGCGTAAATCTCCGATAATTCGGCGTAATTGCCCGACAATTCGCGCAATTGTCCGTAACCATGTTTTTGCTTAGTCGGGGTTTCCTATATAAGAATCAACATCTTGGATGGCTGCACTGGAAAGAACATTGTTGTTGGCCCAATAGTTGCAGCTGTTCTACAGCCACCCTTGTCAAGGGAGGTTGGATCATGAAAGGGTGAAGCGGCAAAGCATTCTTTGGAGAGTGATCCGGAGAAGCAAAGACAGAACTTTGCTTGCCTGGATTGGCCTTTCAAGAAAGCCCTAGGGGAAATATCAAGAACGTCCGGAAGACAAGGCATGCACTTAGGCAAACATTGTTGGATCTTTCAAGTGTGTTCTCTGTAAGCACTCCCAAACTGTGGATTAACTATCTCTTTCCCCAGGTGCAAGGATTCCAAGGTATCCAAACTGTGGATGCCAATCCCTCGGTTCTCATATGTAAGCCCAAACTGTGGATGGTCACCCTGTGGTTTGGCTTGGGAAAGGGGCGGGGAAGGGCTTGGTAAGACTGGCAAGATCTGGCAAGTGCTGGTTTGAGAATCTAGCAAATGAAAACCATTAAAGTCGGCAGTTTTCATATTGCTCGGCGTTATTTTTTGGATTCGGCGCTTTTCGATGAATTTGGCTGAAATCAGGGCACAATGGTGCCTCGGCAAAAATTTCTGCCAACGGTTCCTCTAGGTATGTTTCATTTTTTGGATTGATTCATCATGATTCATCACCCCCCCCATTCGGCTCCATGTCTCACCATCTCCCAGTCCAGCCGGTCCGCGCCGGTCCGCGCCGGTCCGCGCCGGTCCGGCCGGGCCTCCGGCCAGGGCACCGTGCTTCGCGCGTCTCTCCTCCGAGCGCGGTGCGAGAGGTGTTGTGGAGGCGAACGGTGCGAGACACCCGGTGCGCAGGTTTGAAGTACCTGGACCCGACTTCAAGTACTCTAGAACATGGGACATGGCCCTGATAAAAAAAAAAGAAAACAGGTACTTGTACCATCTTGTACCCATGTTCTGAGGTACTTTGGGGCTCCAGGTATACATGACACCAGGCTAGACTTGCAATTGAAGGGAACTCCGGATTCACCATTGGACCGCGTCACAAGATCGATGGCTTAAAGTAAAACCCTTCAAGACATCTCCGCTTCATCGCCTTCATCGCCACTGGATCGATAGTTTTTTTGGGGGGGTCCCGGTCAATATAGGGGCCATATAACCAATTATGAAAGGAAGCCGCTTTCGACTCCATCCCATGCCCCTGCTTGACTGTCAGTGACTCTTTCCCCACTGTCTCAAGGCGATGACTATGCCAAAACAGACCGCCCTACTGTGTTTTGGGCCCGTGAACGGGCTATACCGTGCACCAGTCTTTCACCGTCTCCAACCGCACGAACTGGGTTCCCCGAGCACGGACGAGCCTCGCTCGGCCGCCACGATGTCATCCGTGCGCAGCGTTGGAGCTGCGGCGCCTGAGCATGAGCCGCTAGTGACGGACTTGGATCGAAAGGATCGGACAACGGACTTGGGGGATAGGACTGTGTCACAAGAAGAACATATACAAGAACTATATGAGTTGGGGGTTTCTTCCACCAACACGACGAGTCAGCTTGCGGGTGTTTCCTATGTTTTCCCTGAGTCTCATTTGTCAAGTACCACTGGTGTGGAAGCATCATTGGCCCAAAAGGACGCGAATGAACACTGGGGAAAGTGTCCATACCTCAACTTGAATCCTGGCGGATGCGTCTTTTGGCATAAATTGGAATCACTCCTCTCAAGTAAAGGTTGAACATAAAAGTGTACCTGCTAAACCAAATACCTGGAAATTCTTAGGGCAAATGCAAAAACCTATGGTTTTGGGACTTTGCCGAAGAATTCTTGGGGCGCTATGCAAAAAAGCGTCGGAACCCATTCGAAAGCGTTCGAACCCATTCGAACCCGTTCAAACCCGTCATTTGATGACTTTTGAGAATCATTATCGGTTATTTGGTTTAGCAGGCCCATCTCCCTTGCATTCCATCCTGTCAGGCAATCTTGCAAAGCAAGCACTTCTTTTTGCAGCATGCTTTGAGGAAAGTGTGCAATTGCAAGAGTCAAGAAAGCATTGATCTGCATGTTTCCTATCAAAGAAACATCATGTGGAGGACGCACGTTCACCGGAAGCAAGACTACTGGAGATCCAAGACTAATGAACATGGTTGGTAAATGCAGAACAAATGTTCTTCCAACAGCACATGCGATAATGCTGGTTCAACCCGACCAGCCATGGATTTGAGATGATTCGAGCTACAAGGCTCGGAACTTTCTGGAGATCAAGCTTTCTTGCCTTCTCACAGCTAAAGTCTTGACATAGATTTGTGTGCTATGGTCTTGATCCATGATTGGCTTTCGGGTGAATTTGTGTATAGACTCGCCCAGTCCTATCCCTTGCTTTGTAGCATCTTGGCTCACTGATAGGCTTTGTACTTGGTGCTAAAAGTGCTTCTGCTGTGGCCCACTCATGGCTTCAGACAGCGCTTGGGAGACAACAGTTCCTGAGGACAATGGTGGGGCCAGCAAAAGTGATAAAAGTCTCAGGTCTTTGGGGCTTGCCCTAGCTTGGGACAATGATTCACAGATCCGACAGCGGTTGCGTGATGGTTACAATCTCCTGGTTCACTATGACCCGAAGTTGAGAGTCCAAACAAACAATGACGTCCAAGCTACGCTACCCAATGTCAAGGCCAACCACAAAGTCTTGGCACCTGTATGCAAACTATTTCAGCACCATGGGCTTCCCAACATAGATCGGCTCGAATACGATGTGAAGAAGTTGTCCACATGCTACCCCAAGCCTATGAGTTCAGAACTTGCAAGCAAGCAGGGGTGGGCCATCCGCCATTTGATCGCTTGTTTAAAGGGGACCGTGCGAAAAGACAAGAAGGATGGTAGTCTCAAGCGCTATCCAAAGGACCGGTGCTTTAAACATGTTTTGATCCAGTTGTTGCACACCAATTGTCTTAAGAACCTCGTCGAGTCACTACGAAAGCCCTCTTTGAAGCCAAGTCTCTCATCTGGCGGCTCAGGACCCAGTGCTGCAGGATCTTCTCGTGAGCATGGGGGTCCTGAAGAAGCAGGACTGCTGGACAAGTTTTACTGCCAGAACCAACTTGGAAACAATTTCACTGTCTTGAGGAAGACGGGTCTGTTGGCTTACTTGCTGAGGACTGGAGCTCACTTTGAGAAATAAAGTGTTATAAGAACAGTCAGCGCATCTCTGAATTTCTATTTTTTGCAATCGATTGATGCGTATGAACTTGGGGGGTTTGGGATACCAATATGAGAGTCACTGGCTCAGCGTGTAGCTCCAGGAGCCAGATACGCAGCCACTGGAAATTGGCAACCCTCGCGGTGACGAGGACCATGTGGAAGCTTCTGTTGTTCATGAAGAGCAGGTTTCAATCCCTAATTCAGCCACTCTTGAGGAGCGAGTTCCTCCACCCTTGCCTGATTTCTTGAAGGACGAACGCTTGGATGAACTTTTCCAGGACCCGCCCCAGGGGAACTCAAGTGCCAAAATGCCAGAGACCCACAAGGACCATCAGAGTGTGATGAGTTGTTGTTTGCCTGTCCCTGTTGCGCCTGTGAGTGAACATGTGAAGGGTACAGCCGCATTCACTGCCGTTAGGATTCCGTGGAAGAGAACAAAAACATTGCGAAGGACTTCGCTGTTGTATTCATTTTCACCGCCGACCAAAGATTCTGACATTGAAGATGCTATGTTTTTGTTGCTTCTGGAATCAGTGGTATTTTACTCGAAGTTTACCTATAATTCTCTTTTGGGAGGAAGTTGAAGTCCTCTCATCCGAAGAAGAAGGTTCACTACTGACAGACAAGAGCAAGACCTCTCTTGAAGGGGAATTGGTCAATTTGATTTCTGGAATGAGCCCCGGCTTTGAAAATGCGCACGTTAATTTGCGCGTTGATGTGGGCGCTCGATCCGACTCAGGAAGGGGGTGTCACTCTCATCCTGTCCTACGCTGTCCAAGATTGCAGGGGTGACCATTGAAAGAACTTTGGCTGCCATTGGGGTATACTGTGAATGTCACTCATGCAAACAGCAACGCCACGCCTCGTATCTATAGAACGTACGATATTGTAACCTTGACAGTTGGAAGTCATGATTGAGGACAAATTGTGATAATGGATTCTCTTCCCTTTGCCCACGATAACGATGAAACCTTGGCTACACAGAGTGACCTCTGGCAAGACACAACATGGATGCACCAGCTTTTGCAAAATGAAGGTCCTCCATCGAGCACGGCAGCTGCATCCGCGGCCAATGCTTCGGCTGCCAAAGCCGCTGAACCTGCACCAGCCGATGAAAAGACTCCAGCAGTTGAGACAGCGCTCTGGTTGCATTCGATCAGAGCAGTGAGCACACGTGCATGAGTATATGCGCAGACAAGGAGGAAAACAAATCAAGATAGAACCTTCTATATCTCATGTTCATTGTTCCTGGTGTCATCCTTCTTGTATTTTTGTGTTTTTCTCACCTAAACAGCAGCCAACCAATTAGTTCCCTTCGCTGCTTTCTTCAGCAATAATGTGATCAGCGGGTGTTTCCAAGGCTCCTATGCAATTGGGGGAGTTCCCTGAAGTGGCCAAATCTGAGTCTCACGTGTCGCGTCGGGAGCAGCTCTCTCTGAAGGCGAAGAGCGGCACAGGAACAGGTGGAAAAACAGAGGGAACATCAACTGCAGGCGGAAAAGATGATGATCAGGAAGAGAAGGGTGATCCAAAAGAGGGTGATGAAGAGCGTCCTGAGGCGCCTGAGACAGCTGCCAGGCCAGCTGATGAAGGCACACCTCAAGAGCCCAATCCTGAGACAGCTGTGAAGGGTCCTGAGGTGGCTGAGGCAGCTGCCAGGCCAGCTGCTGAAACCACACCAAAAGACGAGCGTGAGAAGGAGCCCAATCCTGAGGCGCCCAAAAAAGAAGAGAGTGAGGCACCCAAAAAAGAAGAGCCTCAAGAGCACGAAGCCAAGCCCAAAAGGGCGTCCAGGGCGAAGCGATCAAAGGAAGTGCCTGAGACTGCGCAAGAAGAAGCCCAGCCTGCAAAGAGGCAAAGAAAAAAACCATCAGCAAACGGTGTTGGGGATGAAACTGGCAAAGAAGAAGCAAAGGAGACGAGCGAAGGAACGAAAGCCAAGCGGCCAAGAAAGTCAAAGAAGGAGGCCGTGGGTGAAGAGAATGGTGTGCCCCGAGAAGAGGCTACAGGTGAAGCGACGATTGAAGGGAAGTCGGAAAGCGATGAGTCAAAGCGGCGCACTGCCGCCAAGAGCAAGTTGAAGAGGGCAAGGCCTCTTTGCGATGATGATGATGATGATGTCGAAGAGGATGATGACGGCAAAGAGGATGGGCCAGAGAATGGGATTGAAGAGAATGAGAGCAAAACAAAGCCCAGCCCGAAGGGCAAGGCCAAAGCGAAAGCAAAAGGGAAGGCAAAAGCGACCCCAAAGAAGAGGGGCAAAGGAAAGGGCAGGGGAAAAGCCAAGCAGTCAGAACCTGGAGAATCAGCTGAACCTTCCCAGGTGGAGGCGGAGGCCCTGCTTGGCCCTGCTGCTGTGCTTGCTCAGATCCCTGAAAGTTTCCGTGCTCGAGCCAAGCAAGCAGTCCTGGATTGCTTGAGCTTGTGCAAAGAAGCTGGAACTTTGGGCACCAAGGGCAAGCACCAGCATCCCATGCCTGCAGTTGACCTAGGAGACAATCTAGTGCTGTCAACTTACTGGACGCGTCCAGCATCGGGAGTCAAGGTGAAGCGAGATGGTGAAAAACAGCAGCAGATAGCCTATTTCTCCCGTCCAACGCCATGCTGTGGAACAAATATTGCCTTGGTTGCGCTTTGGGTCTTTTCCTCAGATGTCAAAGACAACAGCAAGAAAACCCTATCTACGATGTGTCTTTTTGATTGTTCGTGCCTGCTCACCTTAAGTTTAATGTCCGCTGTCATCGCGATCAACTAAGGTGGAAATGTTCCGGGAGTTGTCTGAGCCATCTGTTCCCAGCGAGTGCAGGGCGCTTGAGCAAGCCAAGCTTGCTCTGGGCACTGCCCACTGTGCGGCCTTGAGTGAGTTCAGGTTGAGTCAGGGTTGATCCAAAGATCTCTATGCGTGATGGCTCAACTGTCCAATATGTGTCGACCCATTATCTATAAACACTTATGTATAATTAACATCTATAGTACAATTATTATAGTACTATACGGAACTACGGAGTGCTATTTCATTATTTTTTTCGAGCCTCACAGCACCCATCAATCTTGGGCATGGAAATTGGAACCATGCGCGCAGTACAATCTGCAAATCTCGGGGTTTGTGACCGACATGGTCCTTTGAAAGTAAAGGGAGATAGGGAGACAAGCCACCAACATGTGATGGCAAGGATCCAGCGAAGCTGTGCCAAAAAAGTACACAAGAAGAGCCATCCCAAGT